TGTTCTGAAACCATTAAGTATAAAATTCCATAAACAAGCATGAAGTTTAACATCACACACGGTTCTGAGTGGTGTAATGCAACCTCGTGCCTTTGGCTGTATCCCACCTGAGCAGTGAGCCATCCTGCTACTTATCATTAGATCCATCAGCTGTCACAGTATTGTGTTCATTCAGGTAACTCTTATTTTACCTAAGCTGGCCTCATGGGGCGAGAGTAGCGAGGTTAGTTATCAGTGAGGTTGCCGCAAAGAAACCGTAAGTACTTTCTTCGTATTCGAAGGTCAGAGCCCGTGCCGTGGTCTTCATGTGGTGGTCACAGGACAACTCTGTGGAGTCGGTTCTCTCTGCTTGTGGAGTCAGTTCTGTCTGCTTTCGTGTGCTCCCCCCCGCCCCCACTGAGCCAACTCCGGTTGGTTGGAAAAATTTAGCTTTTCTTTTTTTCTTTCTTTTTTTTTTTCGGTAGATAATTATAAAAGCAAGGATAATGTCATCACTTTTTTAGAGGTAGCTATTATAGATACTGGGGCACTTCTGTCAGAATGTAGGGCTCAGTGAATCCTCAAGAGACAGGGCAGTGCAAACAAAGCCAAGACACTTTCTCCTTCAGTGTGTGATAATCTTAGCACAGACGCTGTGTGCAATGGGAGAAAAACAATGGAAACAAATACAGAAAATTCCTAAATGTTTTTACATGTTTATTCACACGTCTTAGCTTATTTTGTGTTCCTGAAACAAAACGCCCGAGGTTGGGTCTTTATGACAGAAGATTTGCGCTAAGCTCGATGTTCTGGAGGTTCGGGAGCATGGAGGTGGTGGGGACTTCTGGCAGCTGACATCACAGGGAGTGTTTGGAATTAAGGTTGAGGGGGAGGTGCAAGGCTTGCCTATGGAAGCCCTCCTTTATTCATGATTGATTTTTATTTTATGTGTGTGGGTGTTAGCCTGCATGTATGTCTAGGCGTCACACGTATGCAGTGCCTGTAGAGGCCAGAAGAAGGGATCGGGTTCCTTGGAACTGGAATTACAGACTGTTGTGAGCTACCATGTGGGTTCTACGAACCAAACTCTGGTTCTCTATAAGAGCAGCTGGTGCTGATAACCATTGAGCCCTTTCTCCAGCTCTTTCCCATCACTGATTCAGGAACAAATCCAGTCCCAGGGACCTGACCTGTTCCAGAGCTAGCATTGATCTGCTCATGATGCTGGAGGCACCATAGCCTCATGACCTAGCAGTAGCCTCTACCGCTTGAGGTTCCACCAACTCACCCTACCACACTAGGAACCAAATTTCTAGCGTATGAACCTTTGAGGGACAAACCAAACAACTAGTATTTTGGCTAGGGAAGAGGTAAACTTTGAATTTGGACTGAACTGAATCCCTGTTAGGGATGGGCTAATGGACAGATGAAGCAGTAAAGCCTGGCAATTAGATGAATGGAAAAGATCTGCCGCCAGAAAGACCAGACATTGTAGGATGCCACAGAATATCCAGGCAATTCATATGGAACAATTAAAGGGCATCTGGATCTTGGCTTCTCAGAGCATGGTCCAGGGACCTAAGAGCTTATTAGTTTTCTCTCTGGCATTAGGGGATGTTGCACAATGGCCTTCCAGGGCCAGCTGCTGTTGACTGCTGTCTGGTTTCTGGTCCTTCTCCTTCTTTGTCTTTATGTTTTCTTCTTTCTTAGGGTTGCCATAACACAGACCGTATGGCTTAAAACAATAGCAGTGTATTCGCCGCAGTTCCACCGTGAGTCAAAAACCAAGGTGTTAGCAGGATCGTGCTTCCTCTGAAGGCTGGAGGAGAGGCTCCATCCTTGTTACATCTAGATTCTAGGAGCCTTGGGCATTAGTTGGTTTGGGGTAAGATTCACCCGGTCTCTGTTGCTGCTTCATGTGACTGTCTTCACTCCATGTCTAGGCCCACAGTTTCTTCTTGGTGTGTGTGAGTCTTCTAGTGAGACTCTGGTCAGGACATTTTCACCAGTAGGTAAATATATAGCCTTGATGTTTTAAGATGCTTTGTTTAATACACACTGTTGATTAATACTGAATTTACACCGAGCGAGGTGGCACACGCCTTTAATCCCAGCACCCAGGAGGCAGAGGTAGGCGGATCTCTGTGAGTTTGAGGCCAGTCTGGTCTATATATCGAATTCCAGGATAGCTGGGACTACCTGGAAAGACCCTGTCTCAAAAATAAACAACAGCAACAACAACAAAATGAACTCACAGCCAAGCATATATAACTCTGATATGACTCATGCCTGACTCTGAGTAAGCTTGTCTGATTACATGTATTTTTCCCATAAGGTACAGCACAGCCGTGTGTGTGTGTGTGTGTGTGTGTGTGTGTGTGTGTGTGTGTGTGCTTAGAAACACAACACAGTACTTCAGTACTACTTTGGGGGCATTTTAAATGATAAAGTGAACAACAAAAAGCTCAGAGATATTAAAAATGAAGTAGACTGTGGAAAGGACTCTGGTTTGCTGTAGGAGACGGGCAGCAAAAAACATACAGTGTTGCTTTGTTGACCTCAGCTGGCTGCATTCATACGAGGCATCTTGTATTTTACCCTTTGGCCCAAATCTGTAATGACCATAGAAAGCACTGTAAGGGTGGATTTTGCAGTTACAAATACATTTTTTAGTAAGATAATTCCCAGGTACAGAACTTGGAAATAATGTGCGTCAGCTCTCTGAATAGGTTATTTATGAATAAACATGGAAGGAAACATACTGTGATGATTTGCAAAGGAAGCAGGGGCTACTCAGGTGTGTCTCTCAGACTGCCCTGTCACCGAGTTTAGGCATGCCGGCAGCACTTCTCATAGATTGTCACCTCAGAAGTGGGATCTGTTTCTGTCTGCTAACGACTTGTGCAACTGTCCCTAATCCTGCTGTTCTGTCCCGCTTCATGTCTTGAGGTCTTCTTCTGAGGGAAGATTTGAGTAGGTTGTGGTCACCACTCTGCAGGGCACAGCCTTGAGGCAGTAGTGTGTGTAACTTTTCCCAGTGTTTTCAGAACTCTGTGGTAACTCCGGACACCTATACACAAAGCCCGACAGGTTTCTAATTCCCTTCTTGACTGAGTCCTGAATCCTGTAAGAATCACGATGTCAGGGAATGTTTTATCATACCCAACTCCCAGACTCTCATTTTCAATCCAAGATCCTTGAATGGATAGATGATGAATGAGTCAGTGGGTGAATGAATGCATGAATGGGACACTTTGAGATTCATGAAAAGCAGCTGTATTGGTGACTGCTCATCATCATCACATGTCCTTTTGTAACGTCTCTAAGGTTCCTATTACTGTCTCAAAGAGTGGCCACCTGGAGCCTGCAGATGTTGCACAAGGCCGCTGTTCCATAGCAGCATTGCATGGCTTGCTTAGAACTTGCCTGGTCCTTGTGTTGAACATTTACTGTGGTAAGCCAAGGCAGAACTTGGCTTCACAGGATTATGCATTTCACTCGAAGGAGTGAAGTTCATCCTCTCAAAGAGCTCACAGTTTGCATGGTGAGCGAGGCTGTGCACAGCTGAAAAGTTTATAGGCATAATAAGAGATGAGATGAGAGCCGAGACTAAAACGGCTGCCCTAAAGCAATGTCTGCTCCTCAGATAATCAGAGGACGATCTGTGAGAAGTGGAGGAGTTGGAAGAGGAAGGGTTGGTTGCTTCAGGCTGGAGTGATCTGGAATGACTTTTCAGAGAAGAGGTGTAGAGCTTAGGTCTCGGAAGACAGATAAAGATTGACAGGGCCAAAGAGGAAGGGAGAGCTTGGTGTGAGCAAGAAGCACAGAGGGCTTGAGCTGTGGGAGGGGAACAGGGAAAAGGTGGGGGATCCCATGTACAAAGGTGAAACCCTTGCTGATTCACATAATGGTGCTTAGTCTCTTGGCCCTAGCTGAGGACAGAGCAATAGGGCAGAGCTTGGCAAGATGGAGGAGAGAATAATGAGACATGAATCATCGTGATCCACATTCGTCTGTGTAGACTTCTCAGTTCATTTTGGAGGAAAAGAGATAGAGGACTGTCATGTCACATTGCCCGGGACGTCTTGTAGAGGGGACGCCTGAGTCAGGGTCACCTTGCTTTCAGGCACCAGACTGAATGTAAATGTACAGACCTAAGTATCATGAGGATGTAGGGTGCAGAGTTGGAAGCGACTTTATCAGTGATTGCACAGTAGCTGTGTTTGGGTGGCGAAAGGAAAGACTGCCGTGGAAGGAGTCTGGTGGGAGTGGAGAGAGGCGTTGTGTGGTCTGCTAGAGGAACCATAGTCCAGCCATGCAAGTGACTTTCAAAGGGAGAGCGAGCAAAGGGAAAAGGCATGTGGCTGAGTCAGAGCCGGGAGGCGGGTCCTGAAGGAAAACGCTGGATGGAATGACTAAGAGGTGGCGCGAGAGTTGACGTAGGAGCCAAGATGAGGACAGGGCAAGGTGCTGGTGAGCTCTGAGCATAAAGTGAGTCTAGAGGGAATGGCTGGTCGGTAACAAACCTTCCGTGAAACCAAATCAATCAGTGCTTTAGTGCCAGTATTCAGAGGTCTGATTATGTATACAGCCTAGATCCTCCAAGGAATGCACTGGCTACCAGAGTTAGCCTCAGAACTGTTTGCCTGGCATTTGCTTGGCGTTTGGAAGGTAAAAGTTTGGTCCTTGAATGTCTGGTATGTTGACAGTTTATGCTATAAGCCCAGCTTAGAGAGGATGGGGGAGGGTAAAGATTGGCTGGAGACAAAGTCACTACCATGTCCATAAAAACTTTCTTCAGTTGAGAGTCAGTATAGAGAATGTGAGGCCTGGTCCATATTCCTACCCAATGAAAGAGCAGGCTAGGCAAAAGAGCAGGTGGCAGGAGAGCTGGATATACCCAACTCCTCCCTAGGAAGAGGAGCCTAGGAAAGGGTCATGCCAAGGATGTAGAACTTGGTGATGCAGATAAGACGGTCAGTCACAGAAATACCAAATGCTGTGCTTCTCTTCTGCCACAGAGTACCATGCCGGTGGAAAGGATGCGGATGCGCCCATGGCTGGAGGAACAGATAAATTCGAATACGATACCAGGGCTAAAGTGGCTGAACAAGGTCGGTATGTTGGGTGTGTGTGTATGTGAGTATGTGTGTTGTGGGGGGAATGTGAGACAGAGAGAAGGGGAGGAAAGAAGAGAAAAGGGAAGGGAAGGGGAGGGAAGGGAAGAGAAGGGGTGTTTCCTGTTGAAAGTGTGCCCACTGGACCACCAAATAAAGTTGTGTTCAAAATCTTATGCTCATTCATACAGGGGACACCCAGCTAACAATGATCACAAAACATTCATTTTTCATGTCAAAAAGGTTTTGGTCACATTTCTGAAGTAAAGTGGGGTACAAAGAAAGAGTAAATTTAGGTGACGAGGAACGATGGAATCCAGGTAATGAACACGTGAGTCATGAAGGAGGATACAAAGCTAATTGTTTTTTAACGGTCACTGATTTACCTTTTTTTTGTTGTGATGGATAAGTACATAAAAATACAATGGATAGGAGAAATATAAAATGTGGCGTGGAGCCCCACAGCTTCAGTATGACTGCTCTCACTGTTCAGAAGTTCATGAGACTTTGTAGACTTTGGAGCTGGCTCATGTCCCACCATGATGCTTTTCTCTTGTAAGTTCTCTATGGTAAAGTTTTCATTTTTTTTTTAAGGTTTTTTTTCCCCCTGTCTTCTTCTCAGACTGTCACCTCAACCCGAGTACTGGTTGTAGCTTTGGTTTTCAGGTGACTTTGTGAAGCTCCTCTTGTGGCTTCTCCACAGAACCCTGCCCTCCACCCTTTCCTCAGATCTTGTCTTCGCTGCTCCAGCTTCTCTAGCACTAAAGGATACAGGGCTCCGTGTGGTGTTTGGTTTTGTCTGAGTGGAGGATCTTAGCCTTTAAATGTTTCTTTATTTCAGGAACTTTTGCTTTTGCCTCTTAAAAGTACTTTTTTAAAAAGTGCTGTTGTGCTGGGTGTGGCATTGCTTACCTTTAATCCCAGCACTCGGGAGGCAGAGGCAGGCAGCTGAGGATCCCTGTGAGTTTGAGGCCAGTCTGGTTGATAGAGTAAGTTCTAGGTCAGTCTGGATACAGCAAGACCCAGTCTCAGAAAACAAAAAGAGAAGTACTGTTATTACATGAAACCCTGCTTGTATGCCCACTTACCCTAAAAAAGTCGTTGTTAATTGCTTACATTTCCCTATATTCACACACACACACACACACACACACACACACACACACACACACACACACACTTTGTTAACTGCAACACTCTCAATTTAACTGATCTAGCTATTAGGGGTGAATCGAAGAGAGATAATGTGGGCAACTTTGTTTTTAATCTAAAAATGCACAGTCTAGAGCAGTGGTTCTCAGCCTTCCTAATGCTGCGATCCTTTAATACAGTTCCTCATGTTGTGGTGACCCTCAATCATAAAATTATTTTTGTTGCTACTTCATAACTATAATTTTTCTACTGTTATGAATCATAATATAAATATCTAATATTTGGGATATCCGATGTGTAACTCCTATGAAAGGGTCATTCAACCCCAAAGGGGTCATGATCCCACAGCTTGAGAAATACTGGTTCAGAGTAACAGCTGAATATGTTATGACTTCTCTAAGGAGGCTCAAGGGAGGATTTTTTCTCCTTCCACAAGAACACCAAGAATTGTGAGCAAATGTCTCTTTCTTCTTTTCCACTCTGCTCCCCTCATCTTTCAATCTTAAGGATGTGGTGAATAATTTAATGGGTCAGGCTTTATTTTCACACCAGGTGTAAGAGCTTAAAGCCAGAGAGCAGATTGTGGCCTGCTTTTAATGAGTGAGAAAGCTATTGTAGAGAAATTAAAAAAAAAATACCCAAACCTCAAAACTTCTGGTTTCATGTTGTCTTTTCTGATACCTCTTAAACCTTATTCTTTCTCTTGCCCATTTATTTTGAATTTACTATAACTAATTGAATATCTGTTCGAGTCTTTTCTGAAATAAGGTGGACCACAGAGAAGATTGAAATAAATAAACTATGTACTTGCTTCACATGATTTGTCCTGTACTGGAACGTTTTGTGGCAAGCAATATATTTTTTCCTCAGCTTGCAGCATCTATAGTTAGTTGAGGTTTAGGTATATAGTTAGTCTCTTCTAAAAATACAAGCACGAACTCAGACCACCCTTGACTGCTCAGTGAGCAGCAGAACAAATATAGGTAAAAGGAAAGAGGGTGTTAGTTTAGAGACAGTATGGGGAAATGTAGGGTAACAGAAAATAGTAATGGCAGCTGATGTTTGCTAAGTATTTTGTGCTATTTCCTCTTCTAAGCAAAGCATTACATACATCAACTCACTTAATCCCTACTCTGGGAAAAGGCTGTTATTTTTCATGTTGCAGACTAGGAAACTGAGGTACAGAGAGGTAAGGGGGACTTGTTTGGACTCATGGTGTGAGACTGAAGTATGGGTTTCTCAATTCTCAAGAGAAGCAAGTGGTCTGTTTCTGCTCTTTCTTTTTCCAACACCTGGGTTGTCTGTTCTCACTGTTGTTTGTCCTGAAGCACATCTGTATGTGGAGACCATGGGTGCCATTGTACCTCTTTTGTCAACTAGGCACTGGCAACCTGTAGTTAGGTGGTCTCTGCAGGAGGTTGACCAGTAGTCTCTACCTCCAGAGACCCATCCCAACCTCTAGAACTTGGGAATGTGACATTATTTGGAAAGGGGCTTTTAGTGCAGTTAAGGACTTCAAGATGACAGCATCTGGGTTATCTGCCTGGGTCCCTGAGTTCAAGGGCAGGTGTCTTTACAAGAGACAGAAGAACACAGAGGAAAAGCTTTGTGAAGAGAGAGGTGGATGCAATGAAGCCACAGCCAAGGGATTCCGAGATCTTCAGAAGCTGCAAGAGGGAGAAAAGACTCTTCTAGAAGTTTTGAAGAAAAAAAAAAAGTCTGCCAAAACATTGACTTTGGATTTCTGACTTTGAGAACTGTGATAGAATGCATTTCTATTGTAAACCACCCAGGGTGTGGCCATTTTTTTATAATAGCCCTAGGAAAAAAGTGCACCCTCTAAGTACTTCCTCCTCTGTGGAGACAGCTTTTTTGCTGCCCATTATCTCCAGCACTGGGGATAAAAAGCCTTGTGCTGCTGGGCAGGTACTCTGCCAGTGAGGTATACACATAGCCCTGTTCATATTTTCTGTTCTAGGGCCAGAGACAATCATTTTTCTTTGTATAACCAAACCCTTGACGTGCTCAGGGACCCTTCCCTGCTGGGAATCCCTTCTCAGTCTCCTGGCACCACAATTCTCTTCCCAGAGAAGAGTAGGGAAGGGGACCTCCTTGCCATCTTACAGGCACTTCGGCTAGAGCTGGACTTGGGGCCATCTGATTGAAAGGAACATGTCACTGGCTCCTGCTACCTTGGTTTCTCAGGACAGTATTGACACAGGAATGCCTAGGCTTCTCAGTGTCTGAGGGTCCCTGTTAGACAGGTGACCCACTACAGCAGGTGTGTTTTCTGTGCACATGGACAGTGTAGGCCTGAGATGGGTCAGGGTGTTTTCTATCCATACCTAAACTCCCATGGGGACCTTTTAAAGGTTTTCTCTAACTTAGGCTTGTTGACATTCATCCATCACCAAGAGTCTGTTGTTTTTCCATCACAAGGATTCCCAGACCCCTCTTGGTATTTTGAGCGGATTGAGGTCTTTCCAATACCTCATTTGCTGTTGAAGACTGTTGGGACTCTAGGGAAAGGTATGCACCAGCCCCAAGACTTTGTGATTCTCTTACAACACAGTTGGTGTTCTGGTGCACTGCTGTAACAGAATGTGTTAAACTGCATGCCATGGAATTTGTCCGATTCTCTGTACAGGTTGCTGGAGCAGAACGTGTCCTGATGAGGGCTGCTTGACAGAGGGCCAACAACAGAGGAGGGAAATCTGAAAGCTAGGAGAGAAGACCTGGGCAGGGCAGCTTGCTGTTAAAAATGACAAACAAACAAACCATCCCAGTAGATTCTTTTAAGGAACTAGGATACTCCTACCAGACCTGACCCACTTCCCCAAACAGCACCAACCCATTCATGAGCGCAGAGCCTGTGATTCATTGTTCTCCACTGGACCCCCATCACTTAAAGCTTCCATCATCTCAACCCATCCATGCTGCAGACCTTAAGAAAGCCTTGCAAGAAACACTCTAGCCACATCCAGACCATAGCAGTTGACACTCAGAATGCATTTTTTACCTATGCCTGGGAGCTGTTGGTACAGGGCATGGCTGTCCTGATGGTTACTCTGTGCACAGCGCCAGACCTCTTGCCTGACCAAGTAGGAGGAGCTGTGGTTTTTCCTATTCCTTTGATCTCTCAGGCTTTAACCCCAAATTCTGGCTCCATATTTTTTATTTTATAAGACTGTTTAGCAATTTATCTATACCTATGAATGAAGGTCATGACCCAAATTCATGGCTTTTTTTTTACACTAAGATTAACAAACATGGTGGTGTATATCTGTAATCTTCATACTCAGTATTGCTGAGCATTTGAGTCTAAATGGGTCTATATGGAAACCCTGCCTCAAAACATGACAAAAACGAAAACAAGAACAACAACAGCAACAACAAAACAATCAAACAAAAAAAGAAAAAAGAAAGAAAAAGAGAGATCAAAGTTAGGACAAGTGGGTTGGCTGCTGTTGTGTCTATCTCCAAGGAAGAGTCCAGCCCGTGTAGGGCATTCTTAGTAAGACACAGTAGGTGATTAATTGTGCCTTCATTTGTTTCCATTCCCATTTCTAATAAAGTTGAAGGAAACCTGTCATGTAACAGGTCTCATTGCAAGAGTCCAAATGAACATCTGGAATGTTGCCAAAGCAGCATCTGAATTACTGATGAATGAGGCCCTGGAAGGACCATCTACTTTTTATGACAGTATTGGCAAAATGATGCAGTATGGTCAAGTCATATGTCTAGAATGAATAGGAGACCAAATTCTCATATGCCCACCTCTAGATTTCTCGCTACTCGCTTTATCTTCTCTGTTTGGGTTGGAGGGGGTTGTCTCTTGAAACTGT